GGGTGGGGGGGGGGAGGCTTTATGGGTATCAATATTCCGCTATTTAGCGGATTTCCACTACTGCCATTTCCTCCGCTAAACTCCGCTGCTGGGAGGGGCATCTCCCAGTAATGCTCCACCACTTTCTGTACCTAATCAAGATTGTATAATATTTAGTAAGTGACTCTTTTACTTGAAATGATCTTCCAAACCCTTGAATTGGTATGAAATAGCCTCGTTTTGGTAAATTGATGGTTATTTCAGCATTCTAGGGTTTAACAGTATAATAATAATAATGGGTGCCTTGCAAAGATGGTCTTATGTCGCGATCACGCGGAAGGTGCCTCCATTTTTTAAATACTGAGTTGAGACCCGGTGTGTTCTGTTTCTAATCTTTCAGAAATAACCAAATTACACCTACCTGCTCCAAAGCCGTGACATGTTATAATCTAAAGTTGTTGGTTTTTTACAGTAGACGTAACAAAATTTAATATTTGACCGCTTATAGTAGTGCATTCCTGATGATATGACTACAATTCAATAACTGGTAAAGTCTATGCATACCATTTTTTTGTTGTTTTGCATTGTTGTTTTTTCCTGGTATCTTTGGCCTCCGGAAATAGTGTCATTAACCGCAGATTCTGCTGTGAAAGTCTTTGGTTGGCTAAATTGACTTTCAAACTTCCACTTGAAAACAAAAGTACTTTTTGTCTGGCCAGTGAGTGAATGCCAGAGAATTCTACTTCTAAAACGAATGCCTTTAATTGCTTTAAACTTTAACTTTATCAGATCTTTGTCTGAAACTGGTTCAAGATTTTTCTGTGAGTAATCCAGAAAAATTCTCAAATTTATTGAGCAGTTCAGCCACAATGATTTTTCCCATAATTTTTGGGTTTAAACTGGCTGTTTTAATGTTTCATATTTGAAAATATTTTTTAAATTGGAAGAAATGAACAAAACTCATGCCCAAGCCTTATGGGGGCAGATCTTCTATAGCCCATCACCAGCTTTGGCTTTCTGATTTTTAGTTATGCTTACTAACTTTGCACTATCCTAATTAGCCTTGTATTTTGTCGATCATCTCATCTTAGCTCTTAGGTTGGTGTTACATTATATTTAAAGACTATCATCCCATCTTCTTTTTACAGTAAAAGTGCAGAAATTAAAAAACTCTGTTCCAAAAGGAGACAAAAGGAAAAAGAAAGAAGTCTCAGATGAAATCTCCAAGCTGGAGCAAGACCTGCAGAAACAGCAGAAGCAAGAACTGGAGGAGTTCAGAGATGGCCAAAAGGTAAAATTTGTCTGCAGAAACTTAGTTTGGTCTCAATAATAATCATAATAATCGATAAAAATGCAGATAATTTCCTTAGCCCCCAGTACAATACATAGCTCTAGGTGCTTTAAAATATCTTCATCTCAACACAAAACACACTTCTTGAAAGTCACTGAACATGCATATGCTCTTTAGATTAACCTTACGTTAACACATATATGCAAGCATTCGTACTATTCCAGCACGATCAATGTGCACATCACATTATGAAAATAAAAGTACTTGGAAAACGGACTGCCTATCGACATAGCATTTCATAACATTAAAAAAAAAAAGAATTTTAAATTTTGCCCAGTAGAACTTTGTATCCCTCAAATGACTTGGGAGAGAGTTCCAGACAGATGGAGCTGCTCTAAGGTATCGAATAAGTGCCCCATCACTCACCTTTTTAATTTTCAGTTTTTTTGCCCCCCCCCCCCCCCCCCCCCCCCCCCGCTCCTTATTCCATACACCCCCCCCCTGTTTATTATTGTCCAGCTTGCCATGGTTGACGATTATGTGAAACACTATATCTTGAATCTAGATATTTGAATGAAACTTTTTTTTTTTTTTTGTAAATGGCAAATTACCCTCAGTATTAACACCAGTACCAGGTTGGCTACCTCAATTTTCTGTGCTTTTAAAAAACTTTTGTACATTGTTTTATATTTTTTAAAACTGAAACTGGTTTGTTCCTAAATGGGAAAAGTTGTCACGGTAACTTACTAAAATCAGTAAAATTTCATGATCTCTTGTTCTTTTATTCACTGAAGGAGAAATAAAACAGATTTGTTCCTACTAGTACAGGGGTATTTTGGACCACTTGTCCAACCCCCCCCCCCCCCCCCTTTATTCGATACCTAAGAGTAAATGATAAAAAAGGGCATCTCGGCAAGTTTTTTTTTTACCATTACAGCACCAGGCTATTTTTAACCGTCACTTCCCTTTGATTCAAACCCCTGAGGCCAAGCCAATTCTCATTGTCTGTAGTTTTTTGCAGACGTTAAAAAATTTATTATCATCTTTTTTGTTTGAAATTTTAGAAAAGAACATGTAGAATATTTGTCAGAGACCATTGGGTTCATCATTGTTAAAATGCCTTACTGGGTTTGAGGTGGGCGGTGCACTGTGAGGGAAATACTGAGCCTAGGGGAATGAGATCTAATGAGGGTCAGGGTTAAAAGTTAGTCTGCTGGGTATGGACTTAGATTTTCATTATCTCAACTAGATTTACAGGTGAATGGCTTGGAAATATATGGGTCAACCTGGATTTCTAACAGGCTCAGCGACATAGACACAAAACCAAACTTCCCACTAGAATTACCGCTGGTTGATTTAGATCCATTAAACCTATAGTTTAACTGGCAAGTTTGGCTCTTATTGGAATTTCCCATTAGTCTGGATTTACTTCATGTCTACAGGCCTATTTCCCCCTGCCCCTTGCAAACTGTGTGTGCTGGTAGGCGTACATATATATGTAAAAGGGAGATCAAGATCTAGCGTTGGATAGAAAGCAGGTCTAAAAGTAAGTCGGAGTGGTTTGGGTCGCCAACATACTTATTTTAATCAGACATAAGAACTGGATATCCAGATTTACTTTTAGGTTTCTGCCCCGCACTGTTAAAAATACAACTTTTTATGAACTTGTCATTCCTGCTCACCTTTACCATTTTTGAGAAAATCTGTCATTTTTTCCCAGTTCTCGCATTGAGTACTTTCTTCACGGAAATGTACTGTGTAATTTATTATTTTATTTTTTAAAATTATTATTATTACAATTATTATTATTATTATGGTTTTTCTCAGGGTGCTCAGGAAGAAGCAGATTCAGGAAATGACAAAGTGAATGTAGAGGATGAAGTGACTGTCTCAGAGGATACAGAAGTGCCCCTTGGGGAGAAAGATACTGCCGATCAGACTCAAGCTAACCGAAAGTCCAAAGCTCAGAAGAGAAGGGTAAGTGTGTGGTTGGCGGGTGCTCTGGTGTGGTTTGCTCCCTCTTTTCTAACAAACATCTATCATCTGTTATCTCTCCTCCTTCTCATTTTTGTGTGCTACTCTCTGGTAACACCCTGAATCTTGACCAATTTGTGTCTCAAGTGCCATAAAACTTGCTAACAATAAAAAAGTAAAGGGATTTTTACAAGCTTAGCTGGACTGGAAAAAGTTTGTACTTGAACGAACATGAGTGTAGTTGGTTGTCTTCTTGTGAATGACGTTCATTGAGCCTGATGTCCTGCATTTGGAAAGGTCTTTCCAATGAGTATTATTTTAGTTTCAGAAAGAGTTTACGGCACTTGCAACACAAATATGTTTTTAAATGCGGAAGATTAGTGAAGGTCCTACTTAATAAGTCTCTGTTGCTTTGAGCATAGGCATATGATTGTCTCATTTCACGGTCTGTTTCACTGGCATTGTCTTCCTATTTATTGTCACCCCTTTCTCTTTCTGACATGAGTATTGGCATCTGTGGTGTAGCAGTAGGTGCTTCTTCACTGTCACGTATAGGAGACCTGAGTTTGATTCGTAGAGGGGAGAAATTTTATCAAATCAAGTATCTCAGTCTTTCTGCTAGGAATAATGCTTTTCAGCCTGCTTTGGCCCTGACAGACAGTGTTGGAAGCCCACTTCCTAAGTATTCTAAATTGTGTTGACGGGGATGTAAAAACACCTACATTTTTTCAAAGTATTTTGTTTGACTTCTGTCTTTTTTTCTTCTTTTTTTCCCCCTCTCTGTTTGTTTGACACTTAGATTATGGGAGGAAGTCTTTCAGAACATCAAGTACTCTGATAAAATTGAAGTCATCCGGTTTTGTTTGCTTTTCAGAGAACCCCGTTCACATAAATTTTGGGGGGGGGATTTTTATGGAGTATCTCAGTCTGTGTGCCTGTTCATTGCATCCATTTCATCCTGGGTTGGCCCTGACAGGCAGTGTTGAAGCAGCCTGCCTCCTAAATAAGCCAAATGGTGTGGATGAGAAGTGTAGAACTTCTACAATTACATTTTTATATTTACTATTTTTTGTACATTTTCTGATTCTTATAATATGTTTCTGTGTAGTGTGAATAATGACAAAAACTGTGTTTGTCGACGAGTGTGTGTGCCTGTATGTACCATGCTGCAGCAAATTTTTCTCTGTGGAGATCAATCAAATCTTATCCTATCTTATACTCACCTCCTCCCTGGCTTTACGCCACTCAAGGTAAGGCTTGTCCAGCTCTTTGTCAATCTTCCTGAGGACGTAGTTGATGTCTGTGAATTCTGCTCCGCATCCCCGACCTGCCTGACTTGTTTTAGACCAGACCTTGTTGTTTTCTGGGTGGATGTCTTTTGTTATGGTGTTTGAGTTTGACGTTTCCTGCGTTTTGGTTTGCCGGTTTTCTTTAGTGTGTGTCCGTACTTCAACGGGTAGGCAATAGCCATCTTCTACACACGTGTGTGCTGTTTTTGTGGACCTTTCTGGAGTTTCTGTTTGCCAGTTTTCTTTATTGTTTCCTGAGTCTGTGTCTTTTGTGACAGTGCTTGAGATTGTCGCTGTTGATTGAGATTTTGGCATTTCTGAAGTTTCCGTTCGGTGGTTTTCTCTGGTGGGTGTCTGTATATCCCGGGGTTGGACAGAGCCGTCGTCTGTTCGTGTGTGTTTGTCCGTGGTACGTACAGAAGAGCTGTCTGTGTTTGTAGACTGGGACATGGGGCTAGGGTCGTCCATTGCCCCAGAGACGTTTGCCGTGCTGGGAGCCAGTGATGTGTGAGGTCTGTCAGTGTCGGTGGTAATGCCGTGGGGGACTGGACTTCACAGCGAAGCTTTTCTTTGTTGCCACGTCGTTTTGTATGTTGGTCGCTCTCGCAGTTTTTCCGCTGTTTCCTACGGAATTGAGAGGGGTGTTGTTGTTTTTCTTTCGTTGCCGGTAGCGTCAGAGCGAAGGACGCCCTGTGACGGTGTGTGACCAGTGCAGATACAAGAACGAGTGAGTTCTTCACAACAGCTGTCCTGGGGCTGTGGTGAAATGAGACACGGAGATTCTGTGTGGCTTGCAATTGTTGTTTGCGGCTCTGTTCTGTGGCTGTTGTTACTGCAGGAACAGCCTACTCCGTTCTGTGTCGTACATGTAGCGAGTAGCCATGTGGGTGGTTGGCGGGTGCTCCATTTTTTCCTCATCCAATATCTATCGTCCTTATATCTCCTACTTATTTTCTGTATGTTTCTCTATAGTTATTTACAGCCTTGATCTTTGGCACTTTAATGTCCTAATTGTGTTGCAAATACCATATAACTTACAACAACTAAAATGATGTAGCCATGTTGTGGTCTGTTGTACAAGAGTTATCACCGGGGTCACGCCGTCCTCTCATTGGATGACAGTGCGCGGGTGGTTTGAGGGCGCCACTGGTAGCTCCTACTTCTTTTCTTTCCCTCGATTGTTTCTGTCTATCTGTCTTGCTTATTCCCTGCACTATTATTGCGTAATTGTACCGATGCACTTCTCTTTAGTCACACTCAGAAAAACTCAACACAAAGAATACACCATTGCAACAGTCATGGTGTTTTGTAGCGGGGGGGGGGGGGGGGGGTAAATATCTGTTTTAAGAATATCGAAGTGCTGGGCTCAACAAAATGTTGGCGGTCATAGGGTCTGCATTTATCATTCACTACCAGTTCTTCAAGATAATTGTCTAGAATGTATGGAAAGTGTTGATGAGCGATTAGTACTTTTTCTTTCTTGGCGTTGTCCGTCCACTGCAGGATGTAGCCCTGCAACAATGAACTCCATTCTGTTCTATCAAGCGTTTAGTAAATGCACTTTGGGAAAAAAGATTGGAAAGGGAGATGGGGTTTTTAATCCTTTGTCGAGGGCGTATGGGTTTGGTGTGTATTCCTCACTCGGTGCTACATTTCGCCTCATAGATTTACTGGGGGGGCGCAGAGAATAGCACCTGCCGTGATACTGCGTTTTGTAAGCAGGCGATTAAAGGTGCGTGGGTCTGGTCTTTCGAAAAGAGCCTGTTGGCGGAGGGCCAACTGCCAGACCCTGCAAAAAAATAAAGTTACAGAAACACAAACACGTCTAATATTTTGATCTTGGGAGAACGAGATTTTTCTTGTGGCCTACACCCTCCTTGATCCAGGGTAAGGGTGACGGTGATGCGCAGGAGGTTGGAGGGCGCCACTGGTAGGTTCTACTGCTTTATTTCTTTACTTACTTTCCCTCTGTTGTTTTTGTCTGTCTGCCGTATCATTTCCCAACACTAAATGACCATTATTGTGTCGATGTGCTTCTCTTTACTCAAGCAAACTCAAACGGTGATGCGATGCGATGATGTGGTCACACGTGTGATGTGTGTATTATGGGGCGGTTGCTTCAGGCTCCATGGGCTGACCTTGACCTCATTGGATCTCATCTGTGGGTGTTTTCTGCGTTGTTTTCTGTGTGTGTGTTGGCGTTGGCTTCAGGTGTGTGTGTGTGTGTGCGTACGTGCATCACACGCCCAGGTCTGAAAGGAAAGTGGAGAGGGTTTTAAAATCGTGAAATAATGTCGGTTTAACGACCCTATCTGAAGAACACTAATAAGTTATTTAACAGTCGGGACTTCCAAGTTTAACGTCGATCTCCCAAAGGAAGGGCCAATCTAATTTGGAAATTCGTGTAAAGCGTGTTTCCCGAAGACTCGACGTCGGCGGAAGTCTCACGATTACGGGTCCGGTAGCTTAACCACTATGCTACCGACGCTACCTATTGAATGAGAGATGATTGTGGTTGTAATAATAATAATAAAAAGAAAGATAATGATGATAAGAGGATGAAGTCGAAGAAGAATTATGGAAAACTCTCTGCTACTACTCGTAATTATAGCGGTACTGGTGCCGACTTAGCGTGGTACCATTTCGGCTTAAAACGGAAAGATAATATAGTAAGTGGAGAGGGGATAGCTGGTGAGGTTTATAAAGAGAGATTAAAGGCAAACTAGAGAGGTTTACAGAGATTAAAGACGTATTGAGTGGGAGCGGGTCAACTGACCACTGGTCACCGGGCACGTTATCAGGGCATAGACAAACATGTTCCCCCCGCTGCCCGCCGCCCGCTAATCTGTACCCGAGTACTGCAGGCGGGTTTTTGCTTTCGCCCGGGCGAGAAGAGCGGCTGCTTGCTATCTCTACGTTTCACCCTTCAGCTGATACTGATATACGTGGATGGTTGGCGGGTGCTCTGGTGTGGTTTGCTCATTCTTTCCTATCAAACAGCTATCCTCCTGATCTCTCCTCCTTTTTTTTTATTTGTTACCCTCTTGTATAACCTCTAATCTTGGGTACTTAATAATATGGCCTTATTGTGTTGCAAGTGTCGTAGAACTCTTACTAAAACTGAACTGATGTATTATACGTACATCATGGTGGCCCTACGTCCTGCGAGGGGAAGGAGGATGGATGGAGGGTGCCACTGGTAGGTCCTACGTTTTTTGTTTCCATCTGTTTGTTGTTTCTATCTGTCTGTGCGAGTGGTTATGGGCGCCCCACTGGAAGGTCCTACTTCTTTTCTTTTCTCCTGTTGTTTCTGACTGCCTAAATGTGGGTGGTTGGAGGGGCCCACTGGTGAGTCCTATTTCTTTTCTTTCCACCTGCGTTTTTTTGGTTTTTGTCTTTTTAAAATCTGTATGTGTGGGTAGTTGGAGTGTACCACTAATAGTTCTTACTTCTTTTCCTTCCCTCTGTTGTTTCTGACTGTCTTGTTTTAGTTTTTAGTAAGATTTTACTGCGCTCGCATCTATATAAGGTCATATGAGCGCCAAGGGGTGGATGCCACCTTTAGTATGTCGATATGCTCTTCTTTACTCGAACGGACCACTTCTTATGCTCAAGTGTCACGGAATTCATTTACATAAGCTGTCAGTCAGCTCCCCGTCATTAAAAATGTCTTGTGTGTGTGTGTGTGTGTGTGTGTGTGTGTGTGTGTGTGTGTGTGTGTGTGTGTGTGTGTGAGTGTGTGTGTGTGTGTGTGTGTGTGTGTGTGTGTGTGTGTGTGTGTGTGAGTGTGTGTGTGTGTTTATTTCAATTGGGGTGCGGGGGTGTGGTTGTCCGTACAAAAGTGATAGGGGAATGGGAAAATAATTCACAAATAATTCCCCCCCTTTCTTAGTGGGCCTGTTTCGTGGCGGTTACCGGTGGGGCTTTTCCCGCAGGCCCCCGGAATCTTAAATTCATTTTTCCGCCCGGGGGGGGGGGGGGGGGGGGTGTCACGGAACGCTGAAAGCGCCACCACTTTCTGTACGTGATCAAGCTTGTAAATACTTGGTAAGTAACTCTTACTTGAAATTATCTTCCAACCCCTCGAATTGGTATGAAAAAACCTTGCTTTGATAAATTGGTGATTTTTATTTCAGCACTCTGGGTTTCAACAGTATAATAATAATGGGTGTCTCCGCGAAAATGGGATTCTGTCTCGATCATGCGGAAAGTTCCTCCTTTTAAAAAAAATTCTGAGTTGAGACCCATGAATCCACAACAAAATGTACGGAGATTAGATTCTTAATCACAGCTTTCGCGCCGGAGAGCGGATAGGCCTTTCGACGGACTTCTCAAATAAAAAAAAAATAAAAATAAAAAACGTTCCTTCCACGAGGTGTTGTAAGGGTGGCTCAAACACGGGCACGCGTGTTGTTGACAGACGGAGAGCGGCTGGCAGGGACAGAACCCGCCGCTTGTATTCACGCGCTCACGTGCACGACTCCTCGGCCCAGGATCCGGCGGATAGTTGGGGGAGGGGGGGGGGCACAACCGAAGCCAACCCCCCCCCTCCCCCCTTCCTTTCCTCGCCATTTTCCCTTTTCGTTCTGTAATTTGTTTCTCCTCTCACCCCGCCGTCTGGAACGTCTCTGGATTGAAACGCGGGACAAAAAGATGCGATCCCTTGGTTTTATTTCGAGTCTTTTGTTGGGGGTAAACAGCTGTCTGGCCGAAAAGTAATGGTATTTCGGACTCTATAGCCCTGTCAAGACGCGTGGACATTTTCGAGGCTTCTGGCTCTAAATGTTTCTACAAGCTCCCTGTTGTCAATGTTAAACTGGACTCTACACTCAACGTACAGCGAAGTAAAATAACCAGCATATGAAATTAAATATCTTCAAAAAACATTAAACATCACGGAAAGAGACGGACAAAGAAACGTAGACATCAGAAAAGTCGAATCGCGCGTGAAATACATCGAAGGACAACAAATGAGGTGGTCTGGACCTGCAATGAGACTGGAGCAACAACAGCCAGTCCCAGAGGCAAAGGAAGGTCAAGACAAGAAAAAGATGGATCGATGGAGGCCCTGCAAAGGCACAGTATGGCAATCCAAAAAAGCAACACACCTGGCCCGCGTCCGACAATTGCATTTCCCCTCGATAGCTTGCACTTGCAATGTAAAAGGAGAGAAAAAGTAAAGTACGTCATGTAAGTACACTATATTGCGTGTAGTGGGGAGTGAAGTTGGACGGAGCCGACCTTTCATCTCTCTCTCGTGGTTAAATCACAAGTGGGCCTACAGGAGAGAGGGGGATGTTGTAAAACTTGTGTACACTCACACTATTATTTTACGCTTTAACGAACGATGTAGCGGATAGCATTTTGTCCGACAAGCAGCAGACCAAAGGCGACGTTGCGGCACTTTTCCAACCATCATTCAACCTGTGTGTGTGTGTGTGTGTGTGTG